GACGTTGAGGTACCGGACGCTGGGTGAGTCCGGTCGGGCATGACCGGACGCGTTCGGTCGAGAAATATCGTTTCTAGAACCTTACTAGAAACGACCGGACGCTGGAGGTTGAGCGTCCGGTCAGTTGTAGCGGAGCGTCCGATCAACAGATGACCATTGAGATCAGACGACTCTTGTTGAACGTAGTGTGACACGTGGCTGACATCGAGCGACCGGACGCTGGGTCCTGAGTCTGGTCAGTATGACCGGAGCGTCCGGTCACCCCACGCTGTGCCCAGTGAAGGGGTACAACGGCTCTATTTCGTGGGGGCTTCTATTTAAGCCCCATGGCCGGCTCAAACTCACTCTCTTGGCCATTTGCATTGACATAGCAACCTTGTGAGCTTAGCCAAAGCCCTCCCACTCATCTCCATCATTGATTCATCATCTTTGTGAGATTGGGAGAGAATCTAAGTGCATTGCTTGAGTGTTTGCATCTAGAGGCACTTGGTGTTCGTGTTTCGCTGCGGGATTCGCTTGTTACTCTTGGTGGTTGCCACCACCTAGACGCCTTGGAGCAGCGAGGATCGTTGAGCGGAGGGTGGTGATTGTCTCCGGCTCCGATCGTGGTGATTGTGGGGTTCTTGACCTTTCCCCGGCGGAGCGCCAAAAGGTACTCTAGTGGATTGCTCGTGGCTTGTGTGATCCTCATCTTGTGTTGGTTGTGCGGCTCCCTATTGAGGGTTTAGCGTGTGAAGCCAATTAGCGCGTGAACCTCCAAGTGAGTGTATCGCCACAACGAGGACTAGCTTGCCGGTAAGCAAGTGAACCTCGGTAAAAAATCATTGTGTTCATCATTGATTCCGAGGTGATTGGTCTTCATTGTTATCCACACTTGTGATTGATTGGTTCATACATCTACACGGTGGTATAACCTTCTTGCCTACTCTTTACATTACCGCAAACTAGTTGTCAAGCTCTTTAGTGTAACTAGTTGTGAGAGCTTGTTGGTTTGGTTAGTGTGGGTCTTTAGTTAGCTTTTGAGAGCATACTAACTTAGTGTAGTGATATAGCTATTGTGTGAATATACTCCATCTAAACTAGAATTGTGGTAGGTGGCTTGCATTTTGGTAGGCTAGCGCAAAACTCACTTCGCCTCATAATTGTCTAATCCTTTTGTTAAGTGTTGTTGTAGAAATTTTATTAGGCTATTCACCCCCCCTCTAGCCATTAGGACCTTTCATCTTCTCGATACCTCGGTAAAAATACCGAAGTCGTCGATGGGAGTTTGCATATCTCTACCTTGCTCTTTAACTTCACATTTACATTGTTTACATTACTGCTTTTGTGGTAGAGATAGCAACACACTAGCAAAACTGTAATTGCACATTTAGATAGTTTATCTTTTGCATAGGTTTTGCTAAGGGTAGAAAAAGTGGCCATAGTCTAGAGTTAGAATTTTAAGTTGCCTAATTCATCCCCCCCTTAGGCATCACGGTCCCCTTCAAGAAGGAAGCCCCACAAGACCAAAACTCCAACAAAACAAGCGAAGCTGAAGAGCAAAGGCTCAAGGAATTGGAGGACCAACTACAAGCCAAACAAAAGGAACTTGAAGAATGCCGAGTAAGAGCAAGAGAAAAATCACTAAAGCAAAAAATAGAAGAAGTGGAAGCCACTCTTCGCCATCTAAATGAACAAATCCAAAGCACAAGCCACAAAGTGATTAATGTGGACGATCCAAATTCAGTAGCAAAAGCTTCGCAAGAAAGAAGTTCCCAAAGATCATTCATCTCAATTGATACAAGTTCACCCCTATCAATAAATTTACAACTAGCACAATGGCCCTTGGGGTACAAGTTCAACACGCTCCCAACATTTTATGGACAATCTGACCCAAGACAATTCTTGATGAGTTTTGAAGCAGCGGTAATTTTCGGAGGCGGTGACGAAACAACACTAGTAAAGTCACTTGTCATGGCAGTTAAAGGGCCAGCCTAGCAGTGGTACTCTTCGCTAAGACCAAAGTCCACACATTCCTGGGACCAGCTAAAGGCAAATTTACTCATTGATTTCCAAGGATTTCAACCCACTGGTCTCACAACTGCATGCTGGAGGCGGAGCCAAGGATCAAGCTCGGGTTGTCATTGGTCGGGAGCCCGGGGCTCGGGCGAGCCCCAAGCAGAGGTAGAGGGAGTGCTCAGGTTCCGCCCAATCCTCGGAAGGTGCATGCGAGCGCACCTGAGGGGTGTAGCCCCCTGAGCCCCGGAGCGATCCTGGAGGGATCTGTCGGGAGGTCCTTTGATCGGGGACCTCTTACCCCGGGATTTAACATATCCCTATGTTATGATCTCGTCAGGTTGTATTGATTAGAGAGAGGGATATAATAGTCAATTGTATACAAATTGCAAACACTAGGGCCTCTATAAATACCTTCTCTGACATGTGATGTACGATCAAGAAAATGAATACAACTATACACTTAGTGTTCAAATCTGGTGTTTGTGTGATTATTTCACCCAACACATACATGCTTTGCACACTCTGGAGTTATAAGTTTCTAAAGTTTTAGGAATGATTGGTTCTGCATTGCTGTTTTGTGCCTATAAGCATCAAACTCTTAAGTCCGGTCACTTAGAACCTGCTATTATATCATTAAATAAGATGGGTGGAAAGTACAATGGGCATACCTTTGGATTGACAACCTTGCCAAATATGACTATGTTTTACTATTTGTTCTTTCAAGATGAACCTTGTTAGCTGCCGCTCTGGGTATCTCATGTGATCCATTATTGGTATGAGCCTTCAACTGCATGATAAGATCAATTTTAAAAAGGCCTATTGCAAATTTTTGTGAGAAAACCATACCACGATAACTGTATGTAAGACTGTAACAAAACTGAAACATCAAAAGCAGCATATTTTTTTTTAATTATCAGTAAAACAACTGCAGCTAGGCAAGCATTCATGTGAAATGCTATCTGAAGCAAGCATGTTTTTCTAGTTTCTTTATTTTACAATTGTTTTTCTCATGGTTCTTCTAGTGAACCAGGTTAGGGATCCTACAGAGGGACACTGTCCAACCAGAAGGCTTCGAATGTGTAGCTTCACCTGGTGTTTTGTTGAAGGTACAAGAGGACACATTCTTGCACCTACACTAGCACGCTGCAGTAGACATTTATTATGGTTTGTTTTTGCAAGATCCTCCAAGTTAATCACTTAAAAGACTGCTATACTGGATGAGAGCAAACAAATAAGAGAAGTGGCAACTCATATAGCGGACACTTGACTGCCTCAGTAAGTAATATTATTAGGGTATTTCAAAAAAGTAATATTGTTAGTTTTTATTCTCTGAGGACGAGTATTATTGCTAGCTGTGTTTTGTTTGTGCATATTGTATTAGTGTATTGGCTATTCATTTCATGATCTGTTGTAGATCTGTCCAGGTCTCGAGGACTCGAGTCATCTGTTGTTTATGTGTGTTAGCTGGATAAAGCCATCTGTTGTTTATGTGTGTTAGCTGGATAAAGTGTTGCTTGATGTACATATCTACAGACAACAGTGATATGGCCATATGGCTTTGTCAACCTGCATCACAGGATGGTTAATCAATCTCATCCTGTGTTGCTTGTTACCCCTTGTAATGTGATGAGCACCAAATGGTAATGTAGTATGATTTTAGTAGGAAAGATTTGGTATGGTTGAAAATTTGGTTGCTGACATGATGGGTTGTTGAGACACCAAGCTTGGGGATGCAGGCATGGACGAATCGAGCCAAGAACGGGAAAGAGAAAAACTGGGCAGAAAAGGCATACGAAAAGCAAAATCATAGGCTCATGAATTGAATCCCAAAGGACAAGAGGAGGTTAGGGTTTCCATTCGCAACTCGAAAATCTCACTTTACACAGACATGAATTTGTTTATCTGTGGACCTCAAGAACAAGATCTAGGAGAGGGAGAAAACCTAGAAGGAGGAAATAAAAATGCTCAAGAGGTAAGGTTGGTTGGATCAACCCTCCCATTATTTATGGAGCTATTACACATGACCAACTTGCCCCTAGATATTTTGAGTCGAACCACTGGACCCCGCGGGCGTTATGGTCCAACTCGAGATAGAAGCATTCGACGGCCATGCGCCCTTCATGACTTAGCTTCGCCTCGACGCAAGCCTCGCGATGACACCACTTCCCGCCTCCGATTCCCGTCAGAACCGCACCCGGGTTTTGAGGCCCAAATCCAAAAACCGTTCACCGATGGTTTTGAGGCTCAACCCACCAAATCGTCCACGCCTGGTTTTGAGGCCTAAACCAGCAAACCTCCCTCCGATGAATTGGAGGGCCAAACCACCAAACCCTCATGCAGACCTCGCCAGGCGTGACTAACCGATGTCGACGTGTGTTCGACCTCCGCCAAGCTTGATGCCTTCGCCTTCCTTCTATTCTTGACCGATGCCATCTACATCACCCATGTAGATGCGTGGCTGGCCTCCGTCAAGTGCCACGGCACCCTCGTCCTCCTCCTTGACTTGGTCGACGCCGTCTTCATCACCCCAGGAGTTAGCCACCCATGGTCGGTCACCCGGCTTCTCCGGTCCCTCAGTCCAAGCCACCAGCATCCGTCCTTCACCGCTCCTAGTCCATCAGGACCCGCTTTATCTTCACCTTCGCCATCGACCACCGTCTCCAAGCTTCACACCTGTGCACCACAAGCCAATAGATATGTTGTACAACACAACTCACATTATGGTTACTCCACCAACTCAACTCAAAACGCAAGTCACGTTGACAATCATGAGTCATGAACTCATGATACAACGGTGCTGCGGTGCAGATTCTAGGCTGCAGCTTATTCAATTTAAATGCAGTGGGGGTTTTAAGTTAGTAATTAAACTAGAGAAGGCAGAAGCCTACATTGAAAACCCGAGGGTGTATTTACATCCGCAGCTACTAAGCTACCATGATTATCCTGAGCAACAGGCATGCAACCTAAAAAGAAAAAAAAAAGGAAATGGTTGATCACATCCATCAGCCTCTTGTTCTAATGATGGTTATGGTGCCGTTTCCTCCCGTCCTGATCTTGGTCAGGCTAACGACTGCCTTGCCGGACAGGCCCAGGCCGTGAGCCGACACGGCGGGGCCGCACGCGAACGGGCCAACGGGGTGCCGAACTGGTCTTGCCGGTCTCTTGAGGATTCGCTGGTTGACGTCGTCCAGCGTCGTCATGCTGCCGTCGTCTAACCCCAGCGGCTTGACGACTGCAAAGGGGTACAGCACTCCGACGCCTCTCTTCTCCTTGTCTTTCTCCTCCCCTGAAACATATTCGAACGCATGCGTGCATTTTAATAACGAACGTAAAAAAAAATAGTCACAGAATTCAACAAACTTTAGGTTTGTGAACGCCAAACGTGTAGAGTTACGAATAAACCGAAGCCTGCGCAGACATGAGCAGCTACTAGTTTGGCATGTTGCAGCGACTGCAACTGCTGCTCTGTAGTCTGTACTCCTCGCGCCAGTGCCTGTCAGCGTCCCGTCCCAGCAGTGCACACAGCACGCATGCGCGCGGGAGTAATGGTTCCTCACCGGTCATCTACCCAGCCCAACCCACCTGACAGCGACGAGGGGCAGGCAGAGGCTGGCGCCGTCGTGGCGGCCGCACCCGCACGGGAAGGGTGCTCGCGGTCGCAGAAGTCGACGACGGGCCGCGAGCGATCGTCGCGACGCGCTGCCGCGTGGGGCGCCCCCGCGGCTGCGGCTGCCTTTTGCAGCTGCAGGGGGGGAGCAGCGGCTCGCACGGTGGCGGGGACGCGAGGAGGGGGGACTACCACCGTCGCATTTGCCTCCTGCGCCGCTGCGGCTGGCGCTGGCATCTGCACCTGCGCGCTGGGGCCCCTCTGCTGCTCCTCCCTGCCCGATGCACCTGCCCCGTCCTCTCCTGCACGTCCGAGCTGTTTCAAGTTTCATGTTCAACTGTTCGTATGGAGGCAATAGCAGTGGCAGTGCGACTACTGCGCAAAAAGAAGATTTCTCGTTTTCCAGAATTTGGCACTATGCAAAAAAATGATTTATCATCATATCAAACTTGTGGTACATGTATAGAGTACTAAATGTTGACGAAATCAAAAATTAATTACACAGTTTAGTTGTACTTTACGAGATGAACGTTTTTGAACCTAATTAATCAACGATTGGACGATCATTAACAAATAAAAACAAAACGACGCTGTAGCTACAGTGATTCGGCCACCGCCGAATCGGCCGAACTAAACGCGGCCTATTGCTGCCTAAGTAACACCTTCGCTACGCAGCAATTAAGGCCCCGTTTAGTTTCATCCAAAATCCAAAATTTTTTGCGCAGTATCCGTCACATCGAATCTTGCGGCACATACATGGAGTACTAAATGTAGACGAAAAAAAAATTAATTACATAGTTGGCCGAGAAATCGTGAGATGAATTTTTTAAGCCTAAATAGTCCATAATTAGACAATTTTTGACAAATACAAACGAAAATACTACAGTAGCCAAAAGCCAAAATTTTTCGGAACTAAACACGCCCTAATCTAGGAGCAGAGTGCTCTGCAGCCGCAGCAGCCCAGTGAATCCAGTGGGCTGGCTAATGGGCTATCAGTTGATCAGCATCAGAACTGACAAGAACAAGTACGACTAGTAACCACTCATTTGTCTGTAGCTGTTGTTGTCTACTACTACCATTTAACACGGAGCAGGAGTGCGAGCGTAGCCAAGCAGTGAACTCTGTGAACGTGAGCAGCAAAGCAGGCCGTGTAGCGATGTGTGCGGCGTATTGAAAAGGACGTGTCGAACGAATCACCTGAGACAAAACTGCAGCGTAGTATCTCCGTCTTCGGGTCCGGGGTCGTCGTGGTGTTCAAATCATGGCGGAAATCTGCTCCTCCTCCCTCGGAGTCGGCGCTAGAATCCCAGAAGCCCTGCAAAGCCGAGAACAACCGGACAAGCGTCGACGCTACTGGTTAGAAAAGAAGACAACTGGACAAGGCCACTGCCCGCCCTCTGCATGCTTATCGTTTAGCGAGACGGCGAGGCTCCAGCTTTTCGCTTCGTTTGGTGAATCGATATCGACAGTGGCTAGAGTACCACAAGATGCACTTGCATTGAGCAGGCTCTTCTTGGGAGCAAAACTAAGAACAACATAGCCTACACACACATGTAGTGCCGTCTCTGTAGTCGATATGGTTCAACATGTGAAGTAACCGATTATCCTTCATACCATTGCCATTTGTATGCTGGTGTGTGGTATGTACGACTTACCGCAAGAAGGCACTGAAGGTCCTCGCTGACGGTCGCCCGACGCCGAGGGGGAGACGTCGTCGCAGCCGCCATCCGCTGCCGCTTGTTGCGGCGGTCGCTCCAGTGAGCGACGGCGTCGTGCAGGTAGCCACCGGACGCCTCCGACGACGCCGGCGACTGCACACCTGCTGCAGGCAGCACGAAGCCGGAAGCCGGCTACATACTTCAGCTCACTACTCCGCTACTCATCTAGCTAGTAGCAGTAGCAGGTCTAGCAGCGAGAGCATGCCATGCATGCCTGTCTCTCAGCTGAGAGCTGAGCACTTACGCGTTGCCGTCGCCGGGAAGAAGGTGGGCTCTGCTTGGACGGCGGCACCTCCAGCTCCAGCTGCAGCTCCTCCGAGAGTGTAGTGATGAGTGTGAAGCAGCTCGGAGTCCCAGTCCCAGCCCCAGTCCAAGCAATCCAGCGGAGGCAACACGCAACAGTCGTAGGAGCAGGTGTCTAGGGCCATGGCGTGTTGTTGGCAGTGAAGCCGGGGACAGCTGAGATGGCTTGCCATCATGGATTGATGGCGTGGTGCGTGCTGGCTGCTGGGAGTGGGAGAGGCGTGTCCTCTAGGCTCTAGCCCTCTTAAATAGGAGGCCCGGCCCTTTTGGCGGAGCGCACCAAAAGCTGTGTCAAATTGGGTGGATGGAAATGTGAGGAGGTCGTCTTTTGCTCTATTTGCATTCCCTTTTTTCTTTTTTTCTCGGGAGCTAAGGCCCGAGGAGAGAAGTGGCAAGCACTGCACTGCAATGCAACAAACCAGTCAATGGAAAAGAACCAGTAAACAAGTGAAGAAAAGGGATAGCAGCAAAAGAGCAAAGGGCCAAAAGTTGCGGTTGCCGGGGCTTGTCACTGCTTGGACCTTTCTCGTGATTCGTTATGTTTGATTGCACTACTTCCTTTTCATTGTCATCGGAGAATGTTGCTATAACATGCATCAAGCGCACAGACTTTGAATATTAGCTTCTTAGGAGTAGTATATAAAAGTGGCAGAGCTTGGACTAAAATGGAGGGGTGCAAGTATCAAATGGCAATGAATTGTGATTACTTTCAAGCATAACAAGCTCATGTCATAAGGCACAACACTAATGGTGAATCACCCTGGGCAGAGGGGCCATTATGTTGACCTACACTAAGCTCCGCCTAGCCCTGGATAAATAAACCCTATCGAGAGATATGTCTCCACTCCATAATTTGCTCATAAATGAAAGTATGTACTCCCGACGTCCCACATTAGACGACGTTTTAGAATCTCCCACGAAAACCACGTCGAAACTAAAAGACCAAAATGCTCCTCGAGGAGCAGAGATAGGATGTATTGAGAAATAAAAAAGGTGTACTGAGAGAAGAGAAAGGTATTAGCTAGGAAGTGAGAATGACAATTGTTTAGGGATAAAATTAAAATTCTATAAGGTCAAAGTATTTTGGGACGGAGGGCGCTGTAAACATTGGTCATGAGTAGCTGCACTGCACATACATATACAATGTGTTTCAAAAACAGAGGGCTAATACTCTATTTATTCTAAATTATAAGACGTTTTGGCTTATCAGGATATATAGTGTTTACTATGTATTTAGAGATACAGTATATCTAGAAAAAACAAAAAACGTCTTATAATTTGGAACGTAGGAGTATTATACATGCACATGGTCTTAATAACGTACTTGCCTAGCATAATCATTCTGTTACTGCCTGCTGGTAGCACTAGTTGTCATGAGATATTGAAATATTTTTCAGTAGTAAAAAATTACTGCGGACTATGAGGACGTGGTATTTTTTTTTTTTTGGGAAGGTGTAAAAGAAAAGTTGCTACGAACTAGAGCACTGCTCCGTATACTCCTACTACGTAGTAGTACGAGTACTTGCTAGTGGACTAGTACGTGCCTGTTGATGTTTTGTTCGTATCATCCTTGTGCCGCAGCAGACGGGGACAGCAGCAGCACCGGTAGGTGTGGTAGCTTTAGCACGCTTTCATGAAAAATCTTTGGACGAGGCCCAAAATATTTTCGTTTCCTGTTGTCTCTATCTCTTTTTCAGTTTTCACTGCTGGTGCAGGATAAGCTTGCTCGGCGTCTGCAATATGTACAGTATATTACTGCGACCTTTTGTAGAACAGCGGAGCTTATCATAGCCCCATGTACTTGTTACACCAACACGTAGTAGCCCAAAGTGTGGGGCTTGGCTGTTGGCTGGCTCCACGAATCACCAGTAATGGCCAAAGGACTACTCGTACGTGCACAGCAGTGGCAGTTGCAGTGCGTGAGAGATTGCTCGGGTGGTCTCCAGTACCACCAGACCATCATTGCTTTGAAATCTACTGATGTCTGATCTGTATCTGTATATATATGGCTAGTTTCAAACTTTGTTATGTATGAATACAAGGAAACAACCAAGGAACGGGTTTAATTCTATGAATCTCAACTCTCACTTCATTGTATTCTGAACTTCTCTGTGGAAAGCATCCTGTACTGTACAAAAAAAACTATCATTGATTGCCTTGCCTGATGAACCATCCTAAATTTTGTAATCCCGAAGAACTAAAGTTGCTCATCATCCAACAAGCATCTCCCGATGTATGTATCTTGCATCGAGAGATACATGCATGCAGAGTTTGCAGATTGCTCGAGAAAGCATGGTCCAAAAGCGAGATCAAACTGACCTGGAACAGAAATGAGCTCCCTAAAGGGAGTCAAGAAAGGCAGCCAACGAGTACTTAACACTGACATGTATGAGTATCCGTAACCTGATACTACGACTTCTTTTTTTGTGCGTGTAAACCCATGAGTTTAGAGACAAGTTAAGTTGGGCGTGACCTCTTGTCTTTTTCAGTGCAGTGCTAGTACCGCTTCTCGTCTTTACTTGCTTATTCTTTTCTGCGAACGGTCAATGCAAAAGAAAGGTAAAAATTGCCACTCCTTGCATTGGGAGCTGCTTCCACTCTCATGTCATGGGCTGATGGGTGATGACAGTGCTCTAGCCTGTAGCTGTTCCTACTTGCAATTGCAGCGCCATTGGTATCATCTAGGACTTACCTTTGTGCATACTGCAAGAATGGCAATTGCATGCCCTATCTTAACTTCCTCCCATGCTAGCTGCCCATTCCATCTTGAGGAAACATTTTTTTCCCTGTACTCTTCGTGACATTAGGCATACGGAGTATATTTTACGGGCCTTTGCCTACTCTGAATGATTGGTGACACACATATTGCATGGGCTGGGTTGGAGGCCGTCCTATTGTGAGTGCAGTGTAGCCTCCTATTCCTATGTGAAGAAAGGATGGCCATAGCGCGGCTCGGAAAGGCATTCTTGGGCCCTGTGTTGACACCAATGATTCACGTACTTAATACAGTTGGTTAGTGAATTGTTACCACATGTAACCTTGGTTATTAGTATTCCTAGTAGTAGTAGCAGCTTACTTCCTCCTACCATAAATAGGAATCCACCTAGGTTAATTTCTTCAAAGTTAACCTTTTCTAACTTTGATCATCCATATTGAAAACTTTATTCAGATTGCCATTAGTATATTCATTATGAATACCACATTTGTAATATGTAACTCTTTTTATTTCATATCGGCCCCGTTCGCTTGAACCTATCAGTATGGTACCGTGTTTTTCTCTCACAACAACAAATTGTCTTTACTTGCTTATTCTTTTCAGCTAGTACAAGGCACTGCCCCAAATGTAATTGCACCTTTTTATGATGTCGGAGAACCATTAACAAATGATTCAGAGGGGGCAATAATTAAGTCACGAATCCCGAGGCGAGGCAAATGCATGCCTTGCTTAAGGATACGTAAGAACTGAACCGTGAATAGCAGAGGGATGGTGATCGATGTTGCAGTCGCAGGGCACCAATATCAGGTTATGGACCAATTTCACTGCTGTTGGCGACAATGCAATCGATGTTAGGATCCGGTAGCAGCTAGCGTGGAATTATTAGCGACTTTCACCTCCCGAATGCTAGCTTTTGGCAGCCCAAGCAGGCTACTACTCCAAGAGCAGTTGAAAGCGCGCGACCTAATTTTCTGAGCGGCAAAGCATGTGCCAGACACTCGTGGCAGCGCTACGTTACGTCCTGGCCGAATGAACAGTGCGGCCTAACAAGCCGTGTTACCACTGCATGCTGCCTGCATTAAGTAATGAAAAGCATCGTCCGTACGTTCTATCGGGGCTCTGTAGGCTGTGCTGTTTGTTGCACAATGATGAGGGGTAAATATGCATGCCTTCCCATGGTTTCATCAAGAGATGATCGTATTGCGGTTGGCATCAAGAGAGTATAAGCACAGCAGCGGGGGTGGGGGTGACGAACTGATGACCGACAAGAACTTCTGCTCACGAATGGGAAACAACCATAAATTTCAGCTTAACACCTCTGGTGATGAGGACCACAAGTAGAAGCACGAATGTATATATGCATATGCTACGAACCAGCAGAACATCCACTGTTTTAGAATAATATTAAAAAAAATCCTTTAAAAAAAAAAGAAATGCCACGTACTTACTAACAATATTTATAGCTGTGCTGGGTAGAGATTCAACTAGCTAGCTTATGTGCAAACAAACTTTCGAACTCGACACTTGTTTCGGTTGCCGACTGCCCTACTCCAACCAACTTCTTTCTCCGAGATTCAACTGTTTGTCGCTAAACCTACAGCGCGAATTGAAAGGGCGATCCCACTGCAATGCAATGTATCCTATTCCTCCTAAAGCCTGAACTCCGCCACTGTTGGTCACCATTGGCACGGGGCCCTGACGATGATTGGCGCGTCTTCGTCGTCCTCGGCACGGCACAGTGCCACTGGAGGACCATTCCGCTGCTGCTGTCGCCGTCTTAACAGCGCGGACGGGGGGCACAAGCGTACCCACCGTCTCTGGTTCCCTTTCCGGTGCGCATCTTTATGGTTCGCAATTCGCATGCAGCCGCCGCCACCACCAGCAAGATACGACCGTGCACGCCCGCGACTGCACTGCACGGGAGGAAACCTAACGCAGCAGCTAGCTGAACTGAGCTGAGCTGCATGCGCGCCGCATTGAAACGAAACCGGAGGCGGAGGCGGTGTACCACGAACGGGCAGTACATGGACGGATCACATTGGATCGGCAGTACAGTACCCGGCTCGCTGGCCATCGGCAGACTTCGTGGTACCACAAGTAGAGAGCTTGTTCGGCTGGCCACAATCGGCTGGCTGGCCAGCATTTTTTTCCAGCCCGCGCAGTGTTTTGCTCTTAAAAAAACCATCTGCTACAGTGTTTTCCCGCTGTTACAGTGTAAAATTAATCATCGTCTCATCGGATGTTTGCTACATGTATAGAGTATTAAATATAGACTAATTATATATTTTACGACTAATTTATGAGATGAATCTTTTAAGCCTAATTAGTCCATGATTTGATAATGTTGTGCTGCAGTAACATGTGCTGATGATTGGTTAATTAGGCTTAATAAATTCGTCTCATAGAGCA